AGCCACTACTGTGAACCCCCTTTTTAAACAAACTTTCTGATTAACCAAACCAACTTGCATTAACTATTAAAACGATGAAATTTGTCATTTACATTCTATAATGCTTCAACGTCTGAGGTCTTTCCCCTCCCCTCCCGATCGTACCCTCCCCTGAACCCCACCATGGCATATTGGTTCCTGTTGTCTCTCCTAGGTACCTCATATAGATTCCTGGTTCCAGCGGCCTAAAAATTCACGGGATAGCATTCCAGTTTAACTGAAAATGGGGGGGGGGGGGTTGGAAACTTCACTACAACGACTATAACTGTTTTTTCCCAAGGAAAGAGGACCTACGCGAGCATCGATGGATACCGAAAAGCTTTTAACATTTTTTCCCGGTACATGAAACAATCAAACTTATATTCCCTGTCGTAATGTAACATACTTAAATACACAGAAAGGTTTAAAATAACATTTATTTGACCACACAATTTTAAAGTAAATGTAAATTATGTAATAATATGAGACCGGATTCATGTTATATTTCACACATAATAAATGATTATTTTGGAAGTTGTACTGCTGTACCTTATAATTCAGAGAGGGGTCACTAATCATTTTACCACTCGGAAATACGTCAAGTAGGAATTAATCGCATGGTATTCATATTGCTTTTATTAATTTGCATTACAGAAAGAAATAATCATACTATAGCAAAGCTGAAATATGGTTAAGCTTGTGAAAAAATGTCTTCTTATTCTACTTATTGTTGGAACCTTTGGACTTTGCACGATACATTACAAATTGCATGATGTTCACCTTATCCGTAAGTAACTATACATCTGTAAACATAGTCCATGCTATCATATCCGATATCATAAGAAAAAAATTAAAAATGTTTCCGCGAGTTCAAAAGAAATTTTATTTATAATTTTGAAATTTTTCTAAATTGTTGGTTGTGTTTGCATTATTACTTTTAATGAATTTGTATATTCATCTTTAAATACTATGTGGAATTTCCTTCTTGAATTATTAATCTTATTGTTTTTAATATTGTTTACGAGAATTAACCACGTGTCTACTTTTAATGTTATTCCTATAATTGAATATGTATTTTATCTGTAATAATTATTTATAGGGTTTTTTATGTTTTTATAGGTATATATTGATTATTATTTTTAATTTATATTTTATTTTATTAATATAATTATTAATTAACCACAGGCTCAAGGAAGAACAACATTATATAATTCTTTTTGATATTGTATTTTATATGGGTTTTATAATTTGGGTTTTAACAGTGTATAAAGAGATTATATCAGTTTATGAGTTTTCTCGTAATAAGATAAGAAAAACTACTGTATGTATGTTGAAAGCATGTGTCTACACTGGCTAGAGATGACTTAGACGGAAGGTAAATTACGTACGCTCGTAAGTGTATAGACTACTAAAGTACAGTTCAGTACATAATACATACTTCACATGTTAACTTTTTTAGCTCCGACGAGGAGCTCTAGAAACACTTGGCTGATTAATAGATCTTTTTCGTATGGGCAACTGACTCAAATATACTGCCCTCATCTTAGCTTACGAGAACTAATTAACAAATGTCCTCTTGGAACAATGCATCCAAATATACAATGAAAAATAATATTAAATTAAATTTTAAAAATATAGACAATTATTAACCCTGGAGAAATTCCTGCTGCATATAAACGTTTTAACAGGTAGGCCTAATACTGAATTTAAGATGGGAAAGGCGCGGCCCAAGTCTGTATCAGCACTGATGCCTATGCAGTATCCCATCCATCCGGATTGCCGAAACCCAGTTTTCCGAATCCCAGTTTTCCGAAACCCATTTTACCAAAAGTGAATTTAAAAGCAAAATAAATATTAGCGATAGCATGCAATTTACGATGAAACACTATGTTAGTCACATCTTAAATGTGTTAGTCACGCTTACCTATGCCTACAGTATATCCACTTCTCTAATCTTGTCCTCCAGTATTTTAAGTACCACCCAAATTTCATAAAGAACTAGTCTATAATCTATCCTTATACCCCCATTGGCCAACCCGTTTTCATGTTAATAATAGCACGTCCTTCTTATACTTTATGACCTTCAATTCCGTGTCCAATGCCTGTGATTTTTTGTTCTATTTTTACCACCGTCCAAATAAGTTCTAATTAATGCCTTCTGACTTTTTTCACACGTTTGTCCTGTTGATCGCATTGTTATTTTTTTGATCCACTGACTTTTTGTTCTATCATTTGTCAGTGATTTACATGCTATATTTAGTGTATAAAAGAGCGCAGTTTTATACACTAAAGTAGTTTAAAATCACATTATTTCACCTTCCTTTCACAGCTGGATTCTCCTTAATTTATCCTCGAGCCGCCACGGCAAACAGGGTTTCGGCAAAAAAGGTGGAATCGGCAATATGAGATTCGGCAAACTTTTCGGATACTTTCAGTGCATTCAGGTCAAAGCCTGAACGACATAAATTACCAACGAAACGTTTGTCAGAGCCCCAGCATACTGAATCAAGTGTACATGGTAGGCCTAGTGGCGATGCCATCTCAAAACACCTTCATCCCCTTCGCGTTTGCGCCTGTTCGTCAATAAATTTATTGTAGATTTTTAGTGGTTTAAAATCTCATTGAGACAGTTTTATTGTGACCATATAGCCTATAGACTAATTTAGTAAATGTAGGCATAAAATGTATAACAGTATATAGCATAATATTCCGGCCGTGAAACCTGGAACCAGGAATACCAGGATGGTGTCCGGCGAGAGATAGTAATGGATTACATCAGTAATAAATTTTAAAAAATACAACATCTGTCTCTTATACACATCTAGATGTGTATAAGAGACAGCCACTTATAAATATGACTATATATTGTTTGATTATGAGAAAGGTCTGCCTAAGCCCTAATGCATAATGTTGGTATATTACAGTATATTATATCATATTATAATATCATATCATATTAATATGAAACTCAGGGATGGATGTAGATGTGTATAAGAGACAGGGTTGTTGACGGAGAAGGCAGGCATTAGGCGAAAACACTTGGCCCACATTACCATACCTAGCACAGGAAGAAACCTGTCTCTTATACACATCTAGATGTGTATAAGAGACAGGTGTGACATTGACTATGACGTCATCGGTCGATTGGAGGATATTGAGAATGATTCAAACTACATACTAAGGCATGTCGGAGCTGGTGTTAAATTTCCTAAACAAACTGGAACTCATTTTACGAACAGCTCAAGTAATGACAAGGTTCACAGAAGCTATGCCACAATTTCGGATTCAGATCTGCAGGATTTATATCAAAAATATAAATATGACTATATATTGTTTGATTATGAGAAAGGTCTGCCTAAGCCCTAATGCATAATGTTGGTATATTACAGTATATTATATCATATTATAATATCATATCATATTAATATGAAACTCAGGGATGGATGTAGATGTGTATAAGAGACAGGGTTGTTGACGGAGAAGGCAGGCATTAGGCGAAAACACTTGGCCCACATTACCATACCTAGCACAGGAAGAAACCTGTCTCTTATACACATCTAGATGTGTATAAGAGACAGGTGTGACATTGACTATGACGTCATCGGTCGATTGGAGGATATTGAGAATGATTCAAACTACATACTAAGGCATGTCGGAGCTGGTGTTAAATTTCCTAAACAAACTGGAACTCATTTTACGAACAGCTCAAGTAAAGGTTCACAGAAGCTATGCCACAATTTCGGATTCAGATCTGCAGGATTTATATCAAAAATATAAATATGACTATATATTGTTTGATTATGAGAAAGGTCTGCCTAAGCCCTAATGCATAATGTTGGTATATTACAGTATATTATATCATATTATAATATCATATCATATTAATATGAAACTCAGGGATGGATGTAGATGTGTATAAGAGACAGGGTTGTTGACGGAGAAGGCAGGCATTAGGCGAAAACACTTGGCCCACATTACCATACCTAGCACAGGAAGAAACTAAGTTAAAGCTTTCCACTGGTGAATTTATTAGCTCAAATCGAAAGCGTCGTTTCATGCGCATGCGCATTCACATTTCTATCTGAATTTTCTACTTTTTGCGAAGCGAAAAAATGCGCAACCAATCAGAGATCAGTGGGAAAACAGATTTAAAGCAAGGTAAACAGGCCTTATAATGTGAAATGCAATATTACGTCACCGTAAACAGATTATAAATTTATGGTTTATGTAAAACCGATGTAGCCAACACGTTAATTTTCGCAGTTTAAACTGATAATAAAATGATAGGTTTACGTCAATCCAAATTGCGCATGCGTTTGTAGCCCTGAAAGATTCTATATAGGCCAACCTCCTTTAATGATTCTGAACTTCGCAGAACTTCTTCATTGATGATATGATATTGATATTAATATAATTGTATTTCACGTTAGTTAAAATTCCTCCATGGCTATTTAGTTAGTTAACGGTTTTACATTGCATTTTTTTTATACCAAAAGATTACAAACTGGGTGAAACGCAGCCAGGAACAGTGGACAATATAGGCGAAGCAGCTACTCTGCAGGTGAGTTTAGTCTGACAACACCACATCGCACAAATGCATACAATTATTTACCCACTCGTTGAGCTAAAAATAATCAATAAAAGTTAATATTTCCCATAGCCATGGTTCGGCCACTGCCAGCGATTGGGTAGTTGCTAAATACAACGGGTTCAGCCAAGGGGCGTGGCTCCGTATGTTGACGTCATGCATAATTTCAGCTATAGTTCGTCTTTAGTTATAGTTCGTCCTCGACATAGAGTAGGCCCTGTCTTTCATTTATCACACAGCATAGCAGAACACAGCAACTCCATGGTACAACCGATGGTAATGCATGTCACGCTAAACGGTCCAATCTGAGACTAGAATGTCAGATAGATAACCACAGAAAAGTAGTCTTAACTTGAAGGGTATATTCTTATATACTGCCAGTCATTACAATAAAAGTAAACAAGTTTAATTTCTTATTTAAAAGGTGACAAAAGTTATCAACTTTTTTGGGACCCCTCTGGAAATAAAACCTGTATTGGGATTTAGAGGGTTTATCCCAGATATCAACAAAGATTTACTTGCATTCTAAATAGTGTTTCTTTGTTGTCTGTATATGTATCTATATCTATATCTATCTATCTATCTATCTATCTACTAAAATCTATCTACTAAAATAACGTTTTGTGTTTTTCTCTGTCCACCAAATATCTCCGAAAGTATTTCAAGTACAATTATGATTTTCACACATGTTGTAGCTACCACCAATGGAACGAATACCTGCTACATTAGGACTCGATTTTGTTATCCTACATGTGTTTTTTTTAGATAGAATTAACACATTTTCTAACTGATTACTTCCAAATCTTATAACTGTCGTTACGTCACGTCTCCATAAAAGAAAACAATGATATTAAAGTTATTATTGTAGTTATAGTAAAAAAAATAAAAATTGCTCAGTTTTGGAGTACCTTTCTGCACACTAGAGAAATTTTGTAAACTTTCAGGTCCTTGTCTTAATGTTGGTTCATGGAACAATACTGCTGGTATACACTGGCCAAGTAATGCATTGAAAATCTTAGAATTTACATTGGATATCTTAGAATATATATTGGAAACTTTGTAAAAAAAAAAAGAACTGTATAGACAAAATTGATAAAATGGAGAAAATATTAAATAGCTACAAAAAAAAGTGACCAGGGGTGGCGGGACAGGGCCGCTTCAATAATTTGAAAATACAGAATTTTATTTACTTTTTTTTTTAAATAATTGTTAAATATTTATTTCCTTAGCAACTAAACACACTTCCGCAGTTTAGACAGTGCGTCTGTCGTCTTAGTTCTTTAGTTCAGAAATGCAAATAAAATACTGTGAATTATACAGAAATACCGGAATGGTGTCGGCGGAGGATATGGTTTTTAACCTTGGAGCTAAAGCAGCATGCAAAATTGTACAATTCCGGCCCCAAAACGTTGACTCAAAAATACCGGAATTGTGTTCAGCAGGTGATAGTATTTACCATGTACAATAGGCCTACTTTAAATTCACTTTTCATTATATAAATTCCAGCCCCAAAACCAAGACTACATTAGATGTACCGTTATGGTGTCCGATGGGGAGATGTTTTCCTGTTATTTATTTACTTTTTATTTAATTATTTTATTTTATGTTTAATATTAATGCATATTCATTTATAGTGGACCTTTGCAATGCTATTTCTATGCAAATGCTCTGTTTGAAGAGACGTAACTATAAAGTTTAAATATGCTTTATAATGAATTAATCTTAAATTATAATTAATTAAACCCTGAATCAACAGACAGTACTCAAGATACAAGATGTACAATACAAGAACACTTTATTGTCAAATAATTCAAACAAGGAAAATGACAATACTGATGAAAATGAAGAGACCATCAATGACTTTATGGAGAAACATTCAACTATAATTAGAAGACGAGTTACTCATACACAAGAAATGTGTCGCAAACATCGACGCTTCATTCCAAGGATGAAAAGACGGCCAAATCTTCTTGTGAATGAGGAACACAAGCTTGTTTACTGCCAAACACCTAAAGTTGCAACAGTTAGCTGGTGCAAACTTTTCTTGACTTTTTCTGGATTTAAGAACTATTCGGAGGTGGTAAAAATGAGCGTTGATGAGGTGGCTGCGGCGTGGAAAAGGCACGTTCCGCACCTTTCTCATTTCCCAGCCAAAAAACAGGAAATAATAATGTCAACCTATACCAAGGTAATGTTTGTAAGGAACCCGTTAACGCGACTGCTGTCAGCCTTCAATGATTTATTAGTTGCAAAGAATAGTTCAACTCACAAGCAACTTAGGTTCCATCACAAGATAAGCAAGGAAGTTTTACATTATTTCAGACCAGGAAATACCACCGAAATGAATGATCCAACATTTAGGGAATTCGTTAAAATGATGGTTTCCAAAAACCACCACATACGAAGCACCCATTGGGATAATATGCATTCAGTATGTTATCCGTGTGACATTGACTATGACGTCATCGGTCGATTGGAGGATATTGAGAATGATTCAAACTACATACTAAGGCATGTCGGAGCTGGTGTTAAATTTCCTAAACAAACTGGAACTCATTTTACGAACAGCTCAAGTAATGACAAGGTTCACAGAAGCTATGCCACAATTTCGGATTCAGATCTGCAGGATTTATATCAAAAATATAAATATGACTATATATTGTTTGATTATGAGAAAGGTCTGCCTAAGCCCTAATGCATAATGTTGGTATATTACAGTATATTATATCATATTATAATATCATATCATATATTAATATGAAACTCAGGGATGGATGTCAATATGAATATCATATAACATATCTGGAGTAAGGTTTTCCTAACCCATGTTATTTAAAAGAGAACAACGTTGAAAGAATGTAATTATTTATTATTTCTTAGGGAGCTTTCGATTGCACGACGACGGTTGGACGTAGAACTTAATGACGTCACTAAAGTCATCTGCGCATGCGAGAACTTTAACAGTTCTCTTTGTCTCTTAGAACGTAGGACGCCCGGTAGGACGGTCACGCATGAGTGATTCCGTTCTAGCGTTGCGTTTAAAGATACTAGAAACACAAGATAGAGTTCTCCACACAAAAAAGTGTTCCACCGAAGTGCATGGTGGGAATACAAACAATGGGACGCCCCTTACGACTGGATCTAAAAAAACTTCAACCAAACTTTCGTTACCAAGTCGTCGCGTATTTTATTGTCAATTCTCAATTTAAAAAATGTACACAATTTTATAATTAGTACAATTGTACCCAGACAGTGACAACGGTGAATACATAATTCCTTGGCGGAGGTAGAAATCGTTGTTATTATCCAAATAAAACACACAATTAAGCCTATGGATCAGTATAGAAAACAACAATAATATATAGCGCAAAATTGTGGCCGGACGCACTCTAGTGATAAAGTTTTAATCCATTAGTGGAAAAAAAAGGGGGGCCTTGTGCGTCTGGATATACTTAGCAACAGAAGGGCGTCCTGTACGTCGGGCACGAAGTATAGAAAACTTGCATGGTTAAAAAGACGGGCGCCGCCTACGTCGGGCACGATTTCCGCCTCATTTTTACTATGCGAGTGCTCTATCTTGTGTTTCTAGTATCTTTGGTTGCGTCTGATAAATGACAATAAAAAGAGGTCATAGGCCAAAATAAACAAACTGTTGCTCAGCTCTTTATTTCTCCTATCACACCGAAACCATGACAGTCCAGTGGCCGCCAAACAGGTCACGTAAACAGAACTCACTGACGTTGACATCAGGTCAAATCAACATAAACATTATCAGCGTCGTCGCGCAAATTGAAAGCTCCCTATTATATGTCAGTGTTGACGTCATCACTTTCATTTGCACTGAATTTTTCTATTCCCGACTGATCACTAATGGACCTTTCCGCTAAGCTCCGCCCCTTGGATATTGTTGTTAAGGTCACACAAGACGGCAGTGTTAAAACATACGCGAACATGTGCGTTTGTGGGACAACCATAGAGCTATTAAATAACTAGAGTGCTGACAAGATGGCAAAGCAATGTAGAGTTGTGTATGTGTACCATCCATAGAGATATAATAAGAATGCTAGAGCGCTAACTGCAATGTATTCGATGTTCGAAATACGCTGAACTGTGTGTGTGTACCATCCAAGATGGCTGCCATAGATTTAGCCAATCAAATTTCGCTAAGCACCATCGTTTGCAATTGCGCCCTCTATTTACTCAGAAAGTTCAGTACAGCTAGTTACCCGTATGTTTGAAACTCGAGCGTTGCGGTGTTTGGGCGTAATGTACACGATTTTAATTTTCATTCCTTGGTACTTTATTTTTGAATAAGATGCTCCACTTGGCCTCGTTTTGGCTACAATAATTTAATAATTTGTTATTACCGTTACTCATTATCATTAATGAAATATTAGTCAGTCAGAGGGCTATTAATATGTAATAATATGTATACTAAGCCTGAAGGTGGCGCTTTACTACTACGGCCATCTTGGATGGTACACATACATAACTCTGCATTGCTGCGCCATCTTGTCAGCACTCTAGTTGTTTAATAGCTCTATGGTACCATCCAAGATGGCCGCCGTAGGAAAGCGCCACCTTCTGGCTTATTATACATATTACCATGAATAAGCCCTCTGACTGACTATTATTTCATTAATGATAATTGGTATTGATAATAACAAATTATTAAACTATCGTTATAAGAGGCCAAGTAGAGGATCTTATTCAAAAATTTCAAAAAAAATAAAATCGTGTACATTACACCCATACACCGCAACGCTCGAGTTTCAAACATACAGGTAACTAGCTGTACTGAACTTTCTGTGCAAATTGAGGGCGCCATTGAAAATGATAGTGCTTAGGCGAAATTTGATTAGCTGAATCTATGGCAGCCATCTTGGATGGTACACACACATGGCCATAGAGATATAATAAGAATACTAGAGCGCTAACCGCAATGTATTCGATGTTCGAAATACGCAGAGCAGAGTATTCTGGCGCCACCATAGTTTGATAAAAGGGCCATAGAAAGAGGTGATGGACGAAACAACTGACTTATAAAGCAATTATAGTAATTTCATACACACCTTCGGACCCACTATATCCTTCAAAAATTGCCTTCAGCCTTAAGCCTGCGGCTTAGTAATTTTTTTTTTTCTGGAAAGAATGGCTGCTTTGGCTTCTATTTCCTATAGTGTACTCAAAACCCGACTCCAATTGCTTATTATGACAAATACAAACACTGTAATGATACAAATAAAGTTTGAGTGATATTTTTTTTTGCAATTTTTTAAATGTTATTAATGAAAGAAAATTATTACTCGTTTGGATCACAAAAAAACTAATACACATTATCATAATTAATTTCAATAAATTTGTAGGTTTTCAAAAGTAAAAATATTTCCCTAATTGATAAATATTACAGTAGGGGCCTATATAATGTATTTAATATAAAATATTTATTGCACGTACTCTATTATAATTAGAAAAATAATTTTACTTTGAATATTCACCCTTTATCAACAAATAAATTGTTTTCCAATTATACTGTAGTAGCATAATTTTACCCAATATATAACACAGGGGGGTTTTTAGGGATGGGTTGTAACCAGCTCTTACTCAACTAGAATAACCTTCCATTAACTTAACTTATTAACAAATCATGTTACTTTTAAATGATAAAAATCATTACAGATTATATAATTTATTTTAGCTGCTTAGTTGATTTTTTTTAACTATGTCGTAATTTTAAACTTGAAATAAGTATTCTAAATGTGAACAATTAAGCTAGAAAATGAACAGAATTTGATATGTCTGACTTTAAATATGTTGGAGTACAATAGACCTTTCCGCTAAGCACCGCCCCTTGGATTGTTGCTAATGTCCGACGAACGGAAGTGCGTTGTGAGATAACACCACACAGATCTCTACTATAATAGCTGGATGCTCATAATGTGCGTCCAAAAAGAAAACAAAACAAAAGCAACAAAGTAATGAAGGTAAACTTGGGAAAAAAATTTTAAAAAAATGTAAGGAAATAAAAAATTTTAAAAATAGATAAATAAAGACATAAAACCAAAAGGTTAAAGCCACTGACGCCATGTTGGGGATATTTTAACGTCAGAAAATACGTATATATATATCTTATAATTGTTATACTGATACTAGCAAATTTTTATTCGTCATGAAATAAGTATATATTCTCCAATGTTATACACAATTATTATTTTACTTTACGCATGGTACCTTATACATGTTTTACATTACTCATGTTTATATACAACAAAATTAAAATAATTGATAATATTAATTTTCAGAGTAAGTAAGTCAGTTTCCATTTTAGCTTTACAAAAACGAAAATTTGCCATCTATTAATTTTCAGGTTAATCAATTCTATCAAGGATTTAATTTTAATCTAAATACTAAATGATGCAATGTTGCACTGTGCAGTTAAATTATCTATAATTTCCAGAAAGCTAACGAAGTACCACCTGTCAGAGGCCTAGCCTAGCTTAAATTATACTATTAAAAATAAAAATAGGAGGAGTCATGTGCTATGCAAATGTATCCCATTGTGCTTTACAAGACAATTGTGCAAGTAAGAAAATTTTAAAGATAAAAAATTAAATATAATTTTTTTATATTGGATTGTTTTAATGATAATACATAAAATAAATCAAAAAGTTTTAATGTTTTATAATTAAAAATAAAAAATTGAATGAATAATAAGAATAATAACAATAAGAATAGTAATAATAATTATTATTATTGTTAGTGTTAGTGTTATTATTATTGTTATTATTGTTAATATTATTATTATTATTAATAAACAGAAGAGTGGAGAATGCTGCTATTTTAATAACAAATAATAATAGTTGGATTTGTAGAGCGCATCATGCGAAAAAGCCTCTATGCGCTTGGTGATTGAGCTCTTTGAGTTGGACATTTTGAGAAAAAGAAAGTTAAAGTTATTTTATGAAACTAAAAAAAAACCTACTCCTTAAACTAAGGCATGGTTGGCCGTTGGCTCCGAGGAGTTCATCCGCCCTTTGTTAAGCTGGTTTTTTTTGTGCTGGCGCCCTTCACATAGGTCAGTTTCTTTTATGATTAACTAGGCCTAGGCATATGTTGTACAAAAAAATGTCACAATAATAATAATTCTTTAACTTTGATTTATATTTTAGATTACATTTTGCAATTTACAAAGAATAAGCCTTGGCTAATTGTATCGGTTTGTACACCAGCATATTTTATTTCATAAATTAAAATATATACTACAGTACTAGTAATAATAATATCATAAGGCATAGGTTTGATACAAGAACTTTCATGTTATTAATATCATTTATCATCCATTTACAGTCGAGCAAAATATTATCGCCGACGATTCACATTGCAACCTACCCTGTCTGCAGGGCTGTCTGCACGGGTGTTCGTCTGCACAACATAACTATTGTCCTTTGTTGATACAAAATAGGCCTACATAGAGTACAACAGTCGTGTCGTCACAACACCGGGTGGCGCCCTTTGTTGTCAGCCAGACGTTTGTTCACAAGAACAGAGCCGTTGTATACACCTGTACTTGTTTCTCCTCACGCAAATCCAGTTATTGTCTATATTCCATTACGACAATAACAATTACTATCAGACGTCAGTTACCATTCATTACGCCTGAATGACTTCATAATCGATCTTAATGGTTTAGAACAGGCTTTCACGAATAGGCATTTTAAAACCTAATAATTTACCATCAAAATGTACTAAAAACACAAAAGCTCGCATTTATTAGTTATCGAACACACATTTAATCATCAATTAAAATTTACAAAGAAAAACTAAGATATAACATCTTAATAATTACGTTAGAAATCGGGATTAATGGTTTGCCAGTGGAGAAAATGGCGTTCGGTTGAACTCATTTTGTGTCGCCGGAAGCAACAGGTAGTATCACGTGGTATCGTGACGTAACACATTAGTACTATATAGGGCTTAGATAGAGAGACAGAGCCTGCCCTAGAAAGGCTAGACTAAGCCTCTACTGCTAGGCTAGAGAGAGATATGTTGTGCATAGGGATCGGTAGACTTTCAAAACAAAAAGATAATCGTAACGAAAAATAGAGAATCGTCCTCACTCAGAGGACCAAAGTTAGGTAAATATGAATATATATGATATTTGCAATGATATATGAAAATAACATCGTTTATTTGTCCTCATGAACAGAATAATGAAAGTTTATGCAGCATCAGTGTTATAAAGATTTACGCGCGCACGCTGTGTGGTGACAACATGGCGCCATGCACCATGTTGGCCAAACTCTATCTACGGCTCTGTTCTAGTGAAAAGCAGACTGAAAACATTTCTTTAATGTCACAGTATTGGTAAACAGAATTGGTGTGTATGTTTTACAATATATCAGATTTCATCATGCCCAATCAACAATACGTACCGTAGTATACTAAAAACTTGGTCGGAAGGATCAAAGTTTGAGGTGCTCGATATTAATTAAGAGTAAATGTATTGGAAAAAATAATGCCATCGGGCCTAGACCCGTTAATATTGCAATATGGCGTTTCATTCAATGGTCAATCCAATCTTTGCTTATAAATGATAAAGATGTTATGTGAATATGTGGACTACAAAAGCAAATGAAAAAGTAACTTCAATGTTATTTTCATATACCAATCCGTGTACTAATTTGTCAATAGCGCGCGGTTTGTTTGAGCTTTGGATATTTGCGGTTCGTTTGCAAAAGTTTGAACAAAAGTTATGTATCACAACGCTAGGAATGTTTTGTTCTTAAAGCATTAAACCACTAAACTCGCTTAGTTCTTTATAGGAGAGTTGAGAAATCAAATATTGCAAATACGGAAATAATGGGATGGTGTCTGGCAGGGGTTTTAACCTACATAATTGTACCATTGCATCTGCAAGAAGTGAAATCAAAAATATCTGTATGGTATCTGATGGTAAAGAATTTTCACCATGTTATTTAGTTCACTTTTTAATATAGGCCTATAAATTCCACCCGAAACCTAGACTATGTAATACAGGGATGATTTCTTTATTATTTATTATTGTTATATTATTCAAAGCTGACATTTGAAATAATATTTCTATATAAATGTTCTGTTTAAGTAGACATTACAATACTTCATGTCTGGGCCCTATAGGAGGACGGTAATTTGTACGCTCCCCAGCGTAAAGAACAATACAACAAAACATAATGTAATATTTGAACATAAATGTATAATATGGGACATACTATATAATGAATTAATCTTGAATTCTCAATGAACAGACACTAACCAAGATGCAAGATGCCAGATACAAGAAAACTTCATTGTCATATGATTCATACAACGAAAAAGATGAAAATGATGATGGAAGTGAAAAGTCCACCCATGAGTTTATGAAGAAATATTCAAATATAATCAAAAGACGAGTAAACTATACCCAAGAAATGTGTCGCAAACATCAAAGCGTCATTCCAAGGATGAAAAGACGGCCAAATCTACTTGTGAATGAGGAACACAAGCTTGTTTACTGCCAAACACCTAAAGTTGCAACAGTTAGCTGGTGCAAAATTTTCTTGACTTTTTCTGGATTTAAAAACTATTCGGAGGTTGTAAAGATGAGCGTTGATGAGGTGTCTGCGGCGTGGAAAAAGCACGTTCCGCACCTTTCTCATTTTCCTGCCGAAAAACAGAAGGAAATAATGTCGACCTACACCAAGATAATGTTTGTAAGGAACCCATTAACACGATTGCTGTCAGCCTACAATGATTTATTAGTTGCAAAGAATACTTCAACTGGCAAGCAATTAAGGTTCCAGCACAGGACAAGCAAAGTCGTTTTAACTAATTTCAGACCAGGAAATACCTCCAAAAGTTATGATCCAACATTTAGGGATTTCGTTAAAATGATAGTTTCCAAAACACACTACATAAGGAACATCCATTGGAATAATATGCATTCAGTATGTCATCCGTGTGACATTGATTATGACGTCATCGGTCGATTGGAGGATATTGAGAATGATTCAAACTACATACTTAAACATGTCGGAGCTGGTTTTAAATTTCCTAAACAGACTGGGACTCATTTTACAAACAGCTCAAGCTATGACAAGGTTCGCAGAAGCTATGCTACAATTTCAGACTCAGATCTTCAGGATTTATATCAAAAATATAAATATGACTATATATTGTTTGATTATGATAAAGGTCTGCCAAGGATCTAGGGCACGGTATATTATATAATATATTATAATATGATCATATTATTATCATATCATATATCATCACATATTATACAGAACTGGGCTAGACTGGGTTAAACTTTTTCTTTCATTTCATATTTTGACAAACACAAAAAGGAAGTAGTGATAGAACATAAAAGTTTGAATCATGTTCGTTCAATTACAAATGAATATTAACTAATGAAAAGTGATACTCTTTCTGATCATAAAAAATGAATATACAGTACATTATAATAGATTTTCACCAATATATAACACTGAACAGCAACCATATAACGTCACCACATACTCAATTATAATTACAAAAAGTTGTCTACTTTAGAATATTATTTTCCAATTAATTACTAATTATATAATTGATTTTACTATATAGTTGATTTCAATTTTATATAATATTTCTAGCTAAATGTGAAGAATTAACCTTTAAAAAATACTCCAGATAAAAAATGGTACCGTCCTTGAAATGTGTGACCTTAGTGCAAACATATAATTAATGCACTACCATTAAAAAATTAAAGGTAATTGCCCACATTTAGATACAATTATAATAAATTCTGTGTTACCGACATTAAACGTTTCAAGTAAGCCTATAAGAATTTTAGAATTTTCCAGTTCATATTGGTTTTTATTTGTTCAACTTTATTCTGTAATGTATGTATGTATTCTGTGTCTGTGATTAACTTTGTTTTTAATTTCATTATCCATTTTTACTATCACAATCTGTCATTTTTTAGATTTGGTCCTTGCAATATTTATAATTAGGTATATATTAATTGTAGTGGTAGTTGATTTGAACAATAAATGCATATATTTAACAATGTTCAACATAAATATAATAATAATAACTTTATTTAATAAAGCACAAAACAATATCCATTAAAAATGTTCACCGGCGCTGTACAGAATTTTAAAATAGGCCTAGGCCTACATACAATTTAAGCATACATAAGAAATACACATTAAAATCAAATAGAAATGATTGAAACCAATAATCATCACAAAATCACAATACCATTTAACACATCAAAAATCTACATTGAAATAAAAGAAAACGCGACATGAAAGAGAACAATAAAACACTAAAATATTTTTGGATTTTGTAAAAGGAAAAGACAAGACAAGTCCACCAAACCGTCACAAAATTTACATCAAAAGTTAAAAAATAAATGTAATGCCGATAAAAAAAAATCTACAAGACATCATGTGTCTTGGAAATTTAAAATAAAGAGCTATTAAAATGTAATGCCGATTAGAAAAAATGTTCAATAGAAAACTCAGTGTTTTGTATAATACCCTAGCAAATATAAAACGTTATTAAAACGTTCGCAAAACGTTGGGAAGGTTGTGGTACGCTTATAGTAGCAAAAAATAACGTGAACAACATTGCAACAACGTTTGCAACGTTATTTAGTCAGAAATGACATTATAAATATGTTTTTATGGTTCTACAAAAACCCGTTTTGAATACTAAGGGGTTTTTTCCTTTTCTTATTTTGTCGCTCTCATCTACTAGTAGTTCAAATCATTAAAATATTAGTACAGTAGTATTGTTATTATATATCTTATTATTGTTATACTGATACTGTCAATTCTTTATTCGTCATAAAATAAATTGAATGTTTTTTTTTTCTTTCAATACATCATACTGTACAATGTTATTGTTATGTGGTATACCAACATTGTGAAACTTTGCATTTTCAGCAGTAAACCCATCAAATTGTATGTTTATTTTAAGTTCTTTATTTCATCTTTTATATATAATATATAACAATATTATATAATAACAATTTTTTTTTAAATGAATTAATCTTGAATTTTTAATGAACACAGACACCACTCAAGATACAAGATAAAAGATTCAAGATAACTTATAATTCAAGCAGCGAAAAAGATGAAAATGATAATGAAAATAAAAAGACCATTGATGAGTTTATGAAGAAATATTCAAATATAAACAAACAGCGAGTTAACCATACACAAGAAATGTGTCGCAAACATCGAACTGTTTTTTCAAAGAAAAGAGGACTCCCAAGGCTTCTTGTGAATGAGAAACACAAGCTTGTTTACTGCCAAACACCTAAAGTTGCGACAGTTAGCTGGTGCAAAATTTTCTTGACTTTTTCGGGATTCAAGAACTATTCGGAGGCGGTAAAAATGAGCGTTGATGAGGTGGTTAAGGCGTGGAAAAAGCACGTACCTCGACTTTCTCATTTTTCAGTCGAAAAACAGAAATTAATAATGTCAACTTATACTAAGATTATGTTTGTAAGGAACCCGTTAACGCGAGTGCTGTCAGCCTACAATGATTTATTAGTTGCAAAGAATTCTTCAAGTAGCAGGCAACTAGGTTTCCAGCACAAGGCAAGCAAGGCAATATTGAATTTTTTCAGACCAGGAAATACCACCGGAATGTATAATCTAACATTTGGTGAATTCGTTAAAATGATAATTTCCAAAAATCACTACATGAAAAACGTCCATTGGAATAATATGCATACAGCATGTCATCCGTGTCATATTCACTATGACGTCATCGGTCGATTGGAGGATATTGAAAATGATTCAAACTATGTACTTAGACATATCGGAGCTGGCTTAGAATTTCCTAAACAAACTGGAATTCATTTTACAAACAGCTCAGGTTATGACAAGATTCGCAGAAGCTATGCCACAATTCCAGATTCAGATCTGGAGGGTTTATATCAAAAATATAAATATGACTATATACTGTTTGATTATGAGAAAGGTCTGCCTAAGCTTTAAGACCTAGTATATTATATTATATTATATTATATATCGTAATATATTAATACAATATAGCATATTATATATTTTTTTGTTTGAGCAACACGCTTTTACTCAAATATTGGTAACTTCCATTGATATACAATTACGTGAAAAATAAAACAGTTACTTTTAAAAGGAAAAAATAATAAACCCCCTTAAATTTTTGAAAACATTATTATTTGTGGGTATAACCAGCTCATAAATGAACTTTTTTTTTTAAATAAATGAACTCAATTTTCACTTTTTGTATATACACAGCATGTGTCTTTGTGTAGATTAGAAAAGGGATGTATTTGGTCCCAGTTTAGTAGAGAAATTAAAATTGCAGCAAGAAAGAAAATTTGTAAACTTTATGAAAACCTTCAAGATCATTAATCTAACAAAGTATTGAAAAGTTCAAGGTAAAACAAGATCTCGTAATCTCGAAAGCTCCGATGAGGGTGGTATAATAGAGGCAGTAGAGTATACTAGAGCACTACCATTAAATAATTACTTTTATATTAAATAGCTATATTTGGATACATATATTTATTTAATTTCTTGTCACTGATATTAATATTTCAAGAATAAGAATTTTAGAATGTTCTAGTTTGTATTGGGTTGTTATACTTGTGGAACTTGAATATAATATACCCTATAGGAGACCTATAGGGTATGGACAACGGAGAGCGATGCTACACGATGTATCTCATGTCCTTTATTCGAAACCTCTACATTTCTTTGATGATGATGATGATGATGATGATCATATAATTTAACAGTGTTGACGGCTATCTTAATTTTTTATTACTGTATGTGTTGCCATTTATTTATATAATGCCGCTCGCCATGTATGTAAAATCTTTGGTTTGAATCTCAGTGAAGAGTTTTTTTTACATTCAAGATTCAATAATTTTCCATATAAAATACAGAAAATTGTGTTGCTTGGCAGAGGACAAAAATATAAATGTATACATAGAGTGCCTATGTTTAACATGAACGTGCATAAAGAGACATACAATTGACAATGTATAATAATAAAAAGGAAAACCTAATAAAATTTCCTGATCTGTCATTGGTTGAGTTATTACGCTTGTGAGCACACGTCCAGTCGCCGCAAAATCAAACTTTAAATCCTTGTGTGCACAATTATCGACGAGCGCAGCAAGGGTGGTGATGAAGATGAAGGCAAGAGATACAGGGATAGGCATGTTAACCCTAAAGTGCCACTGCTGATATGGTTGAATCTCCATTAAACTTCACCTTACAGGTAAGGTTTGTTTAATTTTCAATCCTACCAAATCAGCAGTGTCGCAACTTCAGGCTAACATGAAACATTATTGCAATTGTAGACACAAGTTACAACAAAAACAAAGCCAATTTCAACATGACTTTATTCCAAAGCCTCACTCTCGAACAAATTATAAAACTTCTGAAAACTGAGTCCGAATATCATACAACCTGTGTGGGAATGGTGTCGATTGGAATCGACTTGCTTGCCTTGCGAACACTAGCTGCCCACGTACTGTTGGCAGTAAACACATTTGTGTCAATACCGGCTTAACTGAGAAGTGACTTTGTCCATCTACTTACAGTGCTAATCCAGTGCTAACCCTAATAGGCCTATGGGATATACATTTAAAAAAAAAAAAAAAAAAAAAAAAAAAAACTTGAAAAATAAATTTATCCCTCAACAAACTTGTATATTTTCCCAGCGTCGTATGTACACACAAGTACTCATTAAGATATTTTCATAACCATAACTAATTTGAGGAATAACTGTTTAAGTTAACTCACTCAAAGGGTGCATCTGCGCAATAACCTCCAAAATAGCATCAACATCCTACGTCTCGAAGTTTTTCAATTAAAAACCCCTTCAGATATCGAGCAACAAGTAATGTGTTAAAGCCGCCCTAGCAGTATCTACTGTAGAATATGACGACCTTTCCTTAAATAAGATATCTTGTAAATTTGGTTGCAATAAATTATTTTTCTCTGTAAACAAAACTCCATTTTCTGAGGTAAATAAACATTATATCGTTTCTCATTGACTTGTCGCCAGGAACACACGGTGATTGTGGTTGAAGAAATCTCTCAATGAGGCTTTTCCTGATATCTTGCATACCATTAGTGGAAGCTTGGGACTTAAAGTGTGATCGGTGGTGCCAAATCTTGTGAACCACGTACGCTTGGTTAGTCCACATGGGAACATCCATAATCTTCGTGGCCTATTCTAATGTAGAAAAACTTTCTGCAGACCCTTAGCACCAAGACAAATGGTGGAAAAGCAAAGAAATTTGTATAAATAGACCAATTACTGGCGAGGGCATAGATAAGGGAGGAATTTGGGTCAGGCTTCCAAGAAGCGTATACAGGAAGCCGGTGGTTGACACGACTAGCAATGTCTGGTAGACCGAAAATCCCCGAAATTGATTCAGAATTACTGAGATTATAAGCTTCATTCTAGATCAGTTTATTTTCTGGACAGAAGGTCCACTCTCGTGTTACTGAACCCTGTCAATTGCTTGCTAACCGTTAGCGGTATCCGGATACTGCTAACGGTTAGCTCCCGATCCGGATACTAGGGCTCTCGTGAGAACCAGGCTAGAGTTAGCAAGTTGAGCGCATCAACCAATCACACGTACGCGTTTACAATTTCCAGTTTTTTCTTATCATATATTTCCAGATTCGATCATCATATTTTTGGTAGGCTATCCGGATCGGGATTTTCTCGTGTGGGTCACGGCAGCTAACGGTTAGCAGCATCCGGATCCTGCTAACCGTTAGCAGCTGTGTGAGAACATAGCCATCAACAGGGTAACTGTAATGTTCGTTAGAAAATGAATAAAATATATATATTTTATAAATAACAATAATAGGTCAATTTTTAAGGCGCAATTAAACAAGGTGTCTAAGCACAAAATAATAATGATAATATTAATAATAATAATAATAATAATAATAATAGTAATATATGAGGCAAATTTATTAGTGTGAATCGCCATTTTTTTTATTAGCATGCGCAGTAAGGAATTCCGTAGCTAAAAATTAAACAGCGCATTTGTGTAAAAGCGAAAATTCGCAATTTGCGAGAATAAATTTGCCTATTGGAAGAAAGCCTTTACGCCGTTCATGAGCATGGCTTTAAAGTTTGTCTGTCACAAATAACATAACACTGTCTTGTCCTTTGCACATGTTTATTGGCATAATGCGAATTTAGCGTCAAACGTCATTAAAAGATCATCTTTCTTTTTGCAATATTATTATGATAATGTTATTTTTTTCTGTGTTGATAGATAGTGAGAGTAAAGTACAAAAGTAAAATTTTAACATGATCTAATTGAGCTCAAATTTACCAGGGATGACCTGACTGGATTCATGTTCTATCATTATCATTATCATTATCATTATCATTATCATTATCATTATTATTGAATAATAATAATAATAATAATAATAATAATAATAATAATAATAATAATAGTAAATAATACTAATAGTAATAATAATAATACTAATAATACTAATACTAATACTAATAATAATAATACTAATAATAATACTAATAATAATAATACTAATAATAATACTAATAATAATAATAATAATAATAATAATAATAATAATAATAATAATACTAATACTAATAATAATAATAATAATTAATAATAATATTATAAATAATCCATCTCTTGGCAGAGCTGCTCACGGCGTCGTTTTCCACCTTTTTTATGCATTATTTTTTTCATTAGTTAATTTTATATTAATTATTTGTTGATTTGTATGCATATTTATTTTGTAACAGAAACGGCACAGATAGGTTTGTGTTTAGTTTTTATTTGGAATCACTTTTATTACAGTGGCACACATTCAAACTGATGGTGCATCCAAACTTAACAGAAAACTGAAAAGAAGAAAAACAACTTAACTACGAAAATCATTGCAGAACAAAGGTTCAGTAAATAAAACAAAACAAAAACATAAACTAAAAAAAAAAACAAAAAAAAACAAAAAAAAAAAAACTGGCTTTAAAGTTTGTCTGTCACAAATAACATAACACTGTTTTGTCCTTTGCACATGTGCGTTGGCATAATGCGAATTTAGCGTCAAACGTCATTAAAAGATCATCTTTTTTTTGCAATATTATTATGATAATGTTATTTTTTTCTGTGTTGATAGATAGTGAGAGTAAAGTACAAAAGTAAAATTTTAACATGATCTAATTGAGCTCAAATTTACCAGGGATGACCTGACTGGATTCATGTTCTATCATTATCATTATCATTATCATTATCATTATCATTATCATTATTATTGAATAATAATAATAATAATAATAATAATAATAATAATAATAATAATACACATTTGTGTATTTTTTTGTACATTTCACAGAACAATACATCTTCAATTGACTCTGTATATTCACAAATTATTGTATTGTTTCAATTATGTGATTGTCAACTTTTGTAATGTAAAAACAAAATCTCTGTCTCTTATACACATCTAGATGTGTATAAGAGACAGCCATAATACCATAGCAATCCAATCCAGTTCTCTAGTTTTTAGTTTTTATTTGGAATCACTATTATTACAGTGGCACACATTCAAACTGATGGTGCATCCAAACGACCAAAATCAACAGAAAACTGAAAAGAAGAAAAACAACTTAACTACGAAAATCATTGCAGGACAAAGGTTCAGTAAATAAAACAAAAAAAAAAACTTAAACTAAAAAAAACAAAACAAAACAAAACAAAACAAAAAAAAAATACTACTGTATTACATTATGGTATATATATGGAATAACAATTATTAGATTAACAAGCTCAATACCTGGACCAGTAACACCAAATTCATAGGACTAACTTCATAGCATAGCAAACACTCTTAATACCAGTCACCACAGGACGAAACTAGACGTATTAAAACAAAGAATAATTAATCATTGTTAAACGCATACATTATACCGATTTTATACAGTAAATTCCGTCTGTAAGCCTATTCTTATGCTAAGCAAGACCAGAATACCAACTAGGCATAAATTACTTAACAGTACCATTATTCATTATTACCAATTAAATATGTAATTATATCTATTTAACTAGTAACAGTCATTATAATCAATAATATTGATTATAATGTATATAATTGCAAACTATTATTAAAAATATATCAAGTTACTCACAGTATCGATAGTATCAGACAAGATTCATCTTATCAATTAGACAACGTCTTACTCCTTCTGTCGATACAACGCTCATGCAGCTAATGCTCCGATAGAAACGTGAAAGCTAATTTTCCACTAGGCGAATATATTCGCGCGAATCGAAAGCGTCGTTCATGCGCATTCACATTTCTATCCGAGTTTTTGCTTCAGCGAAATTAGTACAGTTAAAAAGAAATGGGAGAAAAAAAAACATACAGTAATTTATAATCAAATTTAAGTCTGATATCTCCTTTTCCGGTTATCTAGAGGTGCGAGGTTCATGGTAGTCATGTCACAAAGAAAATGAAAATTAGTTAAACTCTCCAAGAGGGTTTAACCAAAAATGACATGTATAAATTTGAATCATCTTGTGTCTATACCTCTTACACCCAAACATTTAATGTGCGTTTTGCCTTGTGGAATGCAAGATCGATTAAAAATAAAAGAGACCGTGCACTGATTGCTACCACACCTTATTACTACTATATTTATTATCATTTTTGTTTTAAATCTTTTTTAGTTGTTGTAAAGCGCATAATATTATTATTATTATTATTATTATTATTATTATTATTATTATTATTATTATTATTATTATTATTATTATTATTATTATTATTATTACTACTATTATTATTATTATTATTATTATTACTATTATTATTATTACTATTATTATTATTACTATTATTATTATTACTATTATTACTATTATTATTATTACTATTATTACTATTATTATTATTAC